AGGAACCAATTTTTGCTTCAAGCTGAATAACGGTAAATTGAAAATATCTCGAAAACGTGTCCATAGAAAAAAATTAACTCGATTTTCAGAATCACCGAGCAATTCTACATAGGAATTGGATAGTGGCATACACAGAACATTTTTGCTGTAAACCAGTGTTATGAGTTCATCGGAATATTTACTTATTTTTCTTATATTTTTCATATTTTTTTATGTATGTTGGGCACAGCAAAACTTTGGACCACGTTAACCGATTCTTTAATTCTATTTTTACCGGAAAGGTGGTACCTCAAGGGAGGTCCCATACTTATTTAGTTTAGATCCGATAATTGGATCGTGAAGAAATTAACGATAATCTTAAATTTTTATATGAGAATTGAAGTCGGTTTTGTTTTTTGTTATGACTTTAAAAAAAGATAGTATTCATTTATTTAAACCATGACATCACAACTTCTTTTAAGAATGATAGTGTTATGGTGCTAAGAATTTTACCGAGCTTCTGCTCCAATTTGTGGCATGCGTCCTGATGGTGTAACACAAATCGAGTGACCTACAATTTTACTACAGAAAATGGATTTTACGAGATGCTTTTTGAAGCGAGAAATACACTCGGAGGTTTGCCATTGCCTGCCGAGGGACGACCGATGTTAACAACAAAAAACGTTTCTAATTAAGTTGTTGCGGGGACCAGCCAAAACGGCGGAGAGTCGATAGAGATAAGTATTATCTTATTTTACATTAAACATTTTCTACTTACTGCTCCTCCTTTGTAAAAGACAAAAATAAAAAATTATTGTAGTTTGTTTTGCCGCTCCCAATTATGTGTACCTTAATAGTGTGTAATTTATTAAACAACGAAATTTGTATTCAATTTCTTGTACCCCAAATTCAGTGAAGTGTTTTTACTCATGGATATGTATGTATGTTTTTTTTTTTTTTTTTTTTACGAGGAGGAAGCATCGAAAGCCTATACCCGTCAGTGTGGGACTTTAACCCGAACTAAACCTCCTACTGTCCGAGTACCGAACCCCCCGGTACCACCGTCAAGTATTTCGTCGGGAGGCGGTTGAGCACTAGACTCGCACGTTCGTTCCAGTCGGTTGTACTCAGTCCTGGGCTACGCCTGGTAGGCTTTGCCACGTCTTGTTTAAGGATAATTACCCTTTTTTAACTATTTATTCATTTATCTCTTAGATACCACTTATTATTTTCGCCTTTATAGACAGTAACAGCAAAAACCTTAAAATGCCTTATGCGACGAGTTTCAAGCCCGCATACGTATGTATATTGCCTTTGCGGTTTGCACGCTCTAGGTTCCAATCCGCACCAACGCCCCATGTGGACGAAATTCGAAACTGCACTTTATTTGCGGCTGGAACGCCCTAGGTTCCAGTCCGCGCCTATTTTCGATTGCAAAAATTTTTCGAGGTTGCCACTTGGGCGGCTTGAACGCCCTAGGTTCCAGTCCGCGCGTATTTATCGATTTCAAAATTTTTTTTTTCCGAGATTGCCACCTGAGCGGCTGGAACGCCCTAGGTTCCAGTCCGCGCCTATTTTCGATTGCAATAATTTTTCGATATTGCCACTTGGGCGGTTGGAACGCCATAGGTTCCAGTCCGCGCGTATTTATCGATTTCACAAATTTTCGAGATTGCCACCTGAGCGGCTGGAACGCCCTAGGTTCCAGTCCGCGCATGCGCTTTAATTGTTAGATTTCATGTTCAAGGTGCGGTCTGAAAGCACAACTTTCTAAGCCGCACTGCTCGAGCGGCTGGAACGGCCTAGGTTCCAGTCCGCGCCTACGCTTTGGTTGGTGAACATCATAGTTTAGTTGCAGTCCGCTGCTATGCTAAGAGTTGGCTTAAGCAGGGCTGATACGCCGCTGTCTCTCTAGGTCCCTCAGTTCCTTCAAAATCGAAGTTAGTGTATCGCTGGTGGATGCCCATTCGCTGGTTCCTTTCACCATATAGGACTACTGACTGTGGCGTAAACACCCCTCCAACGGCAAGTTTAAGTTGGTTCATCTGCCGATGGAAACGAGGGCACTCAAAGAATACGTGGTGGACATCTTCTTCCACGCCACTTAGACAGAAGTCGCAGTAGGGGTCGTGCTCATGTTTGAATTTAAACAGGTATGCCTTAAAACAGCCATGACCACTCAAGAACTGGCTCAGATAAAAATCTACTTCGCCATGCGTTCTATTAAGCCAGGATACCAGGTTTGGTATGCAGCGATAGGTCCAACGACCTTTAGTCGTACTATTCCACCTGTTTTGCCACTCCGTAACGCTGCTTTGCCGGGCTTGATGTCGGTCTAGTTGAGTTAGAGTACGCCGCGTGGATGTAAGGACCGTCGATTCTCTTGCTAGTATATCTACGGGTATCATACTGCCGATTACGAAAGCTGCTTCGTGCGACACTGTTCTGAAGGCGCTGCAAACTCGGAGCGCGCATAAACGGTATGTTGAGTTGACTCCGCGGAAGTATGATGGACACTGTGCGGCGTTTCACCAAATTGGGGCCGCATACAGTATTTGGCTTTTAACCACGCTCGCTAAGAGTAAACGCTTGCGCTGTTTCGGTCCTCGCGTATTAAGCATTATTCGCGATAGTCCCGTGATCGTTGAAGCTGCTTTCTCTCTCACATAGCTCAGGTGGGCGCTGAAAGTAAGACGCTTGTCTAGCACCACTCCCAGGTATTTAATTGTGGGTTTCGTCGTGATGGTGTGGTCGACAATTTTTAGCGCTACCTCCTCTAGTTTCTTACGACTTCTGTTTTTTGCTCGGCTAGCTTCAGGCCGAAGCTATTTAACCAGCTATTAATCACGCCGACTGATGATGCTACCTTTTCGCATATGACATCAAGCAGTTTCGCAGACACTGTTATGAGGGTGCTTGCGGGGTAGGACGAGGTGGCTTCCAGGCATGGTGGCAGGCCCAGACTAGCTCGCCGGATGGGGGGGGTCATTTCCACTCGCCATACCTGACCCTACATATACAAAATTGTTGTCATGCCTGATTGAGAAGCAACAAAAAAATAGAAGAAATAGAACTGAGTAGTACTGCAAGAATGCTAAAAGAAAAGGCCTGTCCCGTCAGGTGGAGTCATCCCACCCCCTCTGCGCGTTTCGCATACGCAGCCATGGGCGTTGCGCTGACTCCAAACATTGCAACGCCCCCTTTGCCTGAACTAGTACGTCTGTGTATTTGTAACCTAGTGCCGTCCCGGTCCCGTCATCCGTCTACGCCCTCACGTCCCCTCTTAAGCCCCAGAGTAACACCCACACCAAATATTGGTTCCTCACCACATCATTTTAAATAACCAAGCCGTCAACCTTTTTTTTCAACTTTTACATACGAATTCATTTATTTATATACTCACTTAAACCTACTTATCCTATATAGAAAAGTTAATAACAAAAATCTACCAAAAAAGTTCAATTCACAAGTTTAGGATTTCAAAATTTGCGAAGATTAGAATTCACTATCCAATAGAGCTATAAAAACATTCAAGGATGCAATTCAGTTATATTAGCTGACAAGTCTTCAACCAAACAAAAGCTCGGAAAACTGACTCACGGAAGAAAAACGAAGTAAAAAAAAACAATTAAATACTATCAAAAAACCTCAACAATCTTCTCAAACTTTCACGATCGCGTGAACACCCCTTCTATTTGCAGGTGTCCAACAAATGCTCATACGCATATATTCAAATTCGCGCGAGTTAAAAGAAAACCGAGGTAAAATATGGTAGCAAAACAAAATATTTTAAGAATGTATGTTTATACGCATGTGTATATGTATGTACAAAAGAAAAATTCAGTTCTTTTTTTTTTTCACTCACCTTTGCTCTCCCTCGATGATGGTACCAACACGTTGAGAGGATGCTGAAAAAGGCTGGAAAATGAAATATACATACATACACCCAAATCCAAATACACACGTGTGTGCACTCAGTCCGGGTTAGAGAGCCTATTATGCTTGCTCATAACTTCACTCGCTCGTGATAGCGGGCACCGAGCGAGTCGTAAAGACACAAAACGTAATGAAAATTCTAACTACGATTAAAAATGCCAAATCTTATCTAAATGAGATCAAATGTTGTATCAAAATTAATTACTTAAAAACCCGGGTTACAAATTGGCAAAAATTAGGAAATCACCTAAATAAAAAAAAAATGAAGTGAATGAAGAAATCAAAAATGTGATTAAAACCGAACAAGGGAACGAGTGATAAAGAGTAGAAGAAACAAAAAAAAAAATGTGGAATCCGAAAAGTGAGCGATAATACAACAACTTAAAAGAACTTAGTTTAAACTAATTTAGTCAACTTCAATACAAATTAACGTAAAAGTTAAATTCATTAAATTAATTCTCAGCAAACGAAATATTGAGCTCGGATTTACACAAACCCATGCGGTAAAAAGAAAATATATATATATAAATATAAAAAAAACAGCAACGAGATAAATTGAGCGGGAAGAGTGCAACGAGTTGAACATAGGCGAGTAAAAAAAAGGAAACGAGGAACTATGCTCAAACTGAAATCCAAAAAAAATTCCGAAGTTTAAGTAACTAAAAATATTATACCTAAGCAAAATAGTGATTCATAAAATTCCTATGGCAAACGCGTAAGTATAACAACTAAAAAAGACTGATACTCCTCCGCTGATGGTTGTAGTCGCTGGTCGCTCCCCAAGAATTTCTGGAGGGGTGACCGCTCCCCCAATGTCTGAGCGGGGAAAAATATGTATGTACGTATGCTCGCCTGCTTCTGACCAGAATTCTCCTTTCCCCTGTTCAGCCCACTGGAATTCTGCTTAATCGCTCAATCTGCAGCGGGCATTGACCCTCTCTCAGTTCGAAGATTCCGCACAGCTGATCGCTGTATTATTATTGTTGCCTGTTCTGCCTATGATAGTTGATATCAAATTGTATCTGGTGCTGAGGTATATGTAGAGGTGTGTGTGCGCTGCTTCTATCGTGCATAGGTGTTGCATGCGCTTATGTGTGGCGGTGCGTGCAACTTCTATCTAACGTCCAGCTCGGTACCTGTTGGTATAGATGGCGGTTGACTTTAATTGCGCCGGGGCTTGCTGCCTGCACTTGCGTCCTTTGTTGTTGACGCAACAATTGCAGTGTTGTTGACGGTAGTACTATTTTTCTGCTGGGGAGGTAGTTTTATACCTGTGTACTGGCGACCTAAAAAAAACACTATAATTTAATCAAAAGGTAATAAGGCGGAGTGGTGGCCATACGCATCCACCTGCACACTGTACGTACGCGGAAGCCAGTGCCTTCACGCGTTTTTGTGTATGCATGTAGATGGCCTTTTTTTTTTGTTCAAATTCAATTCACTTGCTTCTTTAAACTTACTTCAACTCCCAATATTATCGGTCTTGGCTAATTAGGTGTTCCGGGTAAGTGACGGGATCTCCACAGGTCCCGTTGGTTGCACTTCAGGCAGCTTCAGCTCGACCGTTATATATATATATATAAATATATATATCTTTATACGCATATATATATATCCACAAATTACGGAATACCGCCGTTTTTCCCGTTTAACTTTTATATAGAAATATACATAATTCACCGCACACAATTAGGCACTTAAACTCGCGACACTTCACCGCCAACGTATTTCTTTCTAACTGAACATTCGCGACTCCTTCAGCGCTATTTTATTAGAGCTGAACAACCCGAAGGAGTGGCTCAGTGAGTTTCCCGCATATCCCCGAAGTTTAAGATTTTTACTCAACTATAACCAACACTAACACCTAGACATTCCCACACGCTTAGTACTGCCTTATCGAACCGCCTGGTTAGCAAGGTTTCACACCCTTGGCTTTAACTTTGTGTGGCTTAAGGAATTTATAGCTACTTTCACATCCGGTGGATACACACTCACACATACACAGTCATACTGAGTGGGACGCTGCGAAACAGGCTCGAGTTATGAGTCCTTGTTAGGAATTAAAAGTACACAAGAGATTATTTCAGTCTCGTTTTATTTCCAGAACTGTTTTCCATTTTTACACTTACATCTATTTATACTATTTCTAACTATTGTTTGTTTGGTGATAAAAAGATGTTTACATGTTTAGCATTATGTTATCATAATGCTTTGTTACTTATCACCGAATATAATTGTTTATGTTATTAAAAAGATGTTTACGGGTTTATACTTGTCTATCGTATTCTCTTTGTTATTATGTTATCATACAAGGTTAAAGGGCATATAGTTGTTTGTATGTATTTTGGTTCGTGAATAATGATTATATGTATATGTGTATGTA